AACTCTGACATCATGAGCTGGTCCTTGCACCCCCGGAGTTTAATTCTGTATTTCTACACTGTCTTATTGCTCTCTTCAACATGCCTGGCAGTAAGTGCGCTATTGATAAAACATTTGTTTTAAATGCAAACCTGAAAAATAAGAAAATTTATGATAAACTCGGGAAATTTCTGTTTTTCTCCTCTAGTATGTTGCTACCAGAGACAACTGCTGCATCTTGGATGAAAGATTTGTAAGTAGTTTTTATGTTACTCACTGTGTCTGAACTGGAGAAGGGCAGAGGAATAGAAGGAATTCCATCACAGATATCATTTGGCATTTTAAACATCTTTTTTTAACATAGCCTAGGGTTAACCTATTTTTATTAATATACTTTTATGTAGCTTTTTATGGAAATTTTTAATCACTCTATTGTATTTTTAGGGTAGTTTTTGCCCCACAACCTGCGGAATTGCAGATTTCCTGTCTACTTACCAAACCAATGTAGACAATGATCTACAGACTTTGGAAGACATTCTGCGTCAAGCTGAAAACAGAACATCAGAAGCCAAAGAACTGGTCAAAGTGCTCCGAGCCAGCTACGATCCTGATGAACCACCAAAGCCAAGTGAGAATCTAAATGCTACTGTCTGAGAAAATACTTTGGGAAGCTCTTCTGCTGCTGTCTTTGTGGTTCTCTTGGCTTACGTGTTTTTATGCCTCTGACCCCACATTACAGATAAGATAACGAGTGCTACTAAGGAATCCAAGAAAATGATGGAAGAAATTATCAAATATGAAGCACTGATTGTAACACATGCATCAAGTATTCGGTAAGCATTTTTGTTGTAATTTACTCTCCAAGACTGAGTTAGTTTTTCTTCAATATTCCAAGCTTCAGGGGAAGGAGTTAATTTTTTTCCACTTACAATATCCAATTGGTATTATGTTTAGCCACCTTGAGCAGAGTGGAGGTAGGAGTTTTTAGAGCAACGTGAAGTATATTGGATTGTAATTGCTTTTCAATAATCATGTGGGAGCAGGGTGTTCTAGACGTCTTCAGATGTCTTCAGATGTTATGACCATAATATCAAAATGTTCACCTCACTCCCACCTGCCTCACATCAATTCAAACTAATGGGAATTTGCATAAAATATTTCATATAAGAATATCAACAAATGTATGGTAAGGCATGAGCAAGCAGAAGCATAGAAAGGATCTTGGCTACAAAAGTAAATTACATTGAAGGAAGAGCACAAAAAAACACATGTTTAAAAGATTAAGTGTAACAAACATGGTAAAGCTCCCTGTTGATCATGGCATAGAAACTGGTACGATTGTTTTCTCCTCCCTTCACTTGAAAGTAAAGTGTCTTTAACAACGTCCCAGGGACTCATAGACTTTCTGAGCATAGGGTCTCAGATATGGTTTTAGTTTTCTTCCTCAATTTATTTCTTAAATTGTTCTCAAAGTAGCATAAGAAATTAGGTAAATGGTGCTTGAGGAGAAGTGACCAAAAAGGAATCTATCCTTTTCTTGCTACTGGAGGGCCATTGTTACTATTTTTGTGATTATTATTAGCATTATAATTTGCATGATTATTGCCAATCATGAAGCTGAAGGAGACTATTGGGCAGAAATTTGCTAAGGTGCCCAAGAGAAAAGAAAGGGTCCAAGAGTCTGCTATTCTTCACTTCTCAGAAAGCACAACAGTCCATGCACTGCAGATAGTTTTGTTCCATTCCTGAATATGTACAAGCAACCCTGTGAGAAACTACAAAAGCCAGATTTTTTACTTACCCCAGCCTTTCCAGAAGCTATGTAAACAGAAGCCTTAAGAAGAAAGGGAGTGTCTGTTGTTTTATTTTGTGTAAGATAATGCCCCTGATGGTTTTTCCATGTAAGTGATAGACTGAAATCCATAAGCAGATCCTCAGTAGAGCCACAAGTGTGTAGGAATAATGCTGCAGCACATGTGAATTACTGAGCAGAGCCTTTCCTACCCTAAGAATATCCTGTCCTTAGTATCTTAAGGCAGTCTTCCTAGTAACCAGAACTATCACTCACATCTGCTGGTCTTTATTCAGAAGGTAAAAATCAGAATGACTTCTTAGGATGTCAAAGTTTATTGACAATGAGTTTGTCTCTTTTTTTTCCTCAAAAAGCTTGGAGTTTTAATTCACCTCAATTTAGTAACATGATTTAACAATTTTCCCATGAATGGAGTAATTTATCAAGAAGTAAATAAGGCAGTATTTTTAAAAGAAAATACAAAATTACTCCTCTGAAAGGAATGCTATGTTATCTTATTCTTCTGCTTATAGATTTTTGCAGGATATATATAATTCAAATAATCAAAAGATCAGTAACCTGAAACAGAAGGTAGTCCAGCTTGAAGAACAGTGCCAGGAACCTTGCAAAGACACAGTACAAATACATGACACAACGGGGAAAGGTAAGTGAAAGGTTTATATTGGGGTTATGTTCATCAAAGCATTTAGAAAGTTAAGGAGATGTTATGTATTGGAATGTATAGGAATAATTTGCAAAGCTTAGCCATTAAGATTAAAATGTACAGTTGCTTAGACATTTCTTGAATAGCCAGAACTAGTTTCAAAAGAATGATGATGTGAGAATAATATGCTTCTGGGAAAATGAATAGTTTGCAATATCTTAGAAACTCATTTTCAAGGCTGGAAGAGCTACCTGAATTTGAAACCATGAGGAAACTTCTTCTTCTTCAGATTGTCAGGACATTGCCAATAAGGGAGCCAAAGAGAGTGGGCTTTACTTCATCAAACCTATGTCAGCTAAGCAGCAGTTCTTAGTCTACTGTGAAATTGATGGGTCTGGATTTGGATGGACTGTGCTTCAGAAGGTATCTGTCCCTCACCACATGTATTTAAGAAACACCCAAACAAACACCTGCCATATGCCAAATACTTTCGTAAGCACCTTGTGAACATTAACTCAGTTAACTCTTACAACCTCTCTCTGAGTTAGGTACAATTATCACCTCTATTTACAGGGGAGGAAATGCAGGCACAAGAGGTTACGTAACTTACCCAAGGCCACATGACTAAAAAGCAGCAGAGTCAGGATTGGAACCCAGGCAGTTTGGTTTCAGAGTCTGTGCTTTGACTCTGTACTAAGCTGTTGTAGAGTCATGAGAGCACATGATCATGGCACCACAGTGACAGAGAATTAGAAGGGACCTCTTTCATTAGGTTGATCAGGACCTTCAGCTGCCCATCACAAGAAGATGAAAGCCCCCTGCAGATACAGTCAGGCTGCTCCGAGACAAGGGCCCACTCTTGCTTCTGCCAGCCCCTGGCACCCGCTGTGGGTCCTTTTACCTTGTTTACCTTTCACCTTTGCTACAGCCAATCCTGCAGGGACTGCTCGGAGGGAGTGTGTGATGGCAGTGCTTGTTGGTAGACAAGATTGAGCAACAGGCTGACCTTTCTACCATTAGTGCAGGAATCACCAAGAGCAAGCCAGAGTCCTGAAGTCCTCTGAGTATCTGCAAAATCCACACTAATTTAGAATTTACCGTATGAAGACACTCTTTTGACTATTTCTCTTACATTCTCTTGTGTAATCCCGCCAACAACCCTAAGAAGTAAGCATCATTGTTCTTGTTTGACAGATGAGGAAACTGAGGCAGCTTGCCCAAGGTCACTATGTTAGTAAATGATGGAATCATATCATCCATAGTTTTGACTATTGTTTATAATATTTTCTTTATGTGCACTGATAATCCACTCTCTCCTTTTGCCCATGCAATTGTGTGATTAGAGGCTTGACGGCAGTTTGGATTTCAAGAAAAATTGGATTCAGTATAAAGAAGGGTTTGGACATCTGTCTCCTACTGGCACCACAGAATTTTGGCTGGGAAATGAGAAGATTCATTTGATAAGCACACAGTCTGCCATCCCATATGTATTGAGAGTGGAGTTGGAGGACTGGAATGGGAGAACCAGGTACTGTTCAGAAAGACTTCTTTTTGTTTTAGAGGTTGTCTGGAATGTGCACATTCTGAATATTAATAGACCAGTAGCAAAGAGAGCCTGACAAATGCAAAGAGCACATCTAACCATTCTTTGAAGAAGTCGCTTTGGTTTTTGGGCAGCCCAAACAGGTGGGTCCTATCCAAGATGGAGACGAATTTTCTGGTACAATCTATTATCCTGGAACCTTACAGAATAATAGCTAATATGTACTGAGCATTTGAAATGTACCAGACATTGAACTTGAAATCATAATTTAATCTAATTCAAATAATCACTGGGCAGATACTTTTATTAATCCCATTTTATAGATTGACTTTCCCAAGGTCACATTGCTGGTCTATGGTAACAGCTGGACTTGAACTCAGGTGGTTTGATTCTACAGCTGGTCCTTTTAATGACTATGCTGGTTGAAAAGCAAATCCAGCCTCTTCAGGTTTCTTGGTGTTTTAATGACCATTTATTCAGTCAAATCCATGAACCATCTTAAAATTAAGTCAGTTAGCTCTTTCAGTGAGGTAGAGGTATCTGGGGGCTTTGACCATTGTATACCTAGTTAAAATTTAGGTGAAATATCCAACCCTCTTGTTATATCCATGAAATAATGAAATGCATTGTCTGAAACATGTATTTTTGTTTTAAAATGTTTTACTTAGGAAGAACCATAATCAGTAGACCTTTTCTTATGAGAACGCCTTCCATTTCACTTGTATACTAGAGATCTGAGAAGAACCTAAATATTTTCTGGAAATCTCTGTTCATGCACCAAGGCCCATCCTTCTCTGCAATTCGATAGAATTATGACTCTCATTCACAGTTTTTTTTTCCCAGGGGAGAATCTCTCTCTGATCCTACAGCTCAGGTTTTGTGGGCCACAGGGACCACTACTTGATGTGACACTCTAGGAAGCCTTCCTCATTGCCACTTCCACACTGTCTTGGGAACGAAAAACTCCTTTAGGAACTCACCATTCAGATAGTATGAGTGGCTTATGGAGCTGTAACTCTCTCAAGTTTGGAACATTAATTAATGGTTAGTTACTGTCAGATAATTATTATAGTTTATGATAACTGTGTGCATAATGCTAAACACTTAGATAAAAGTGGAAAATGTGGAACTAGTCAGATTCACCCACACATTTGGGTTTAATAGTAGGATCTTATAGGCAAAAAACATCCAAATGGCTGAAGTTTTAGTTTTCACAGGGATGCCCAAAAGGCTTCTGGACCTATCCTGGGTGTTGGTGGTAAGATCTGAACTGGTTTACACATCTGTTGCCTCTTGCTGGATTTGTGGAAAAATATTCAATGAGCACATTTCACATTTAAGAAGCAAAATCAAAAATTCCGAACAATTGTCCTATGAAAGAGGGACCTTCTGAGATCTTAGTGAAGCTCAGGATATGATGTCTCTATTCTCATTTTTATAGTACTGCCGACTATGCCTCGTTCAAGGTGGCACCTGAAACTGACAAATACCGCCTGACATATGCCTACTTCATTGGTGGAGATGCTGGAGATGCCTTTGAAGGTTTTGATTTTGGTGATGATCCTAGTGACAAGTTTTTCACATCCCACAATGGCATGCAGTTCAGTACCTGGGACAATGACAACGACAAGTATGACGGCAACTGTGCCGAGCAGGATGGATCTGGTTGGTGGATGAACAAGTGTCATGCAGGCCACCTCAATGGAGTTTACTACCAAGGTAAGACTTTCTTCATAAGATACATGAATTAGTGTACTGTCTATATTTTTATGAAGCAATAAATAGATACAAGGAAATGAGAAATAGCTAGTAAAGATATTGGGATGGGAGAAATAGCTAGGAAAGATATTTCGCCCCAGCCCAGAGCAAACCCACCCCCACCTGCAGACAGAGCCTGCAGACGGGGAAATTTACAGAATATATAACAGTGGAAGAATGGACAAGCAAGATGATATATTAGTACAGTGGAATAGAATGATTGCATAGTAAGCATAATATATCCATATGAACTTGAAATATTTACAAGTAAGGGAAATTTTAAGATGAAAATTCTACAATGATAATTATGTAAAAAATCTGTGCATATAAATAAAACCATATAAATATATATAACTATATAAAGAAATATAGTTCTTTATTTTAAACCAGAATTGGATTAATACTAAATTTATACTTCAAATTCCTTCTACAAGAAACCCACCTGCTGCAAAATACTGAGTGGCTTGTCATTGTGCCTGAAACTACCACCATCAGAATTGACACTTTCAGTTATGGTATCTCCTCTAGACCTGCCATGTATATGATCCTGATGGACTAACATCACCATATCTTTGTAAACAGATTAGTCTTGCTCAGTTTCCCATGAGCTCTGCATCAGATATGATCAGTGAGCAGTGAGCAGGTGTTTGGAGGAGTGGAATAAAGAGCAAAGAACTATTGGTAAGGGCAGGGTCCATGAAAGCTTGAGAGGAGAGGCATCCAACCTGAGGACTGTAGGCACTTATTTTGGGGTGGGGGAGCGCAAGCTACAGTTTTCTCTAAGGCTGAAATAGTTCTAAACACTAGACTTACTGACAAACAATTTTTACCACTCAACAGTTACCTGTGGAGAAGCCCTACTGAAGCTAAAAGATGCATTAGACTAGGCAATCCTACCTCCTTAGGGCACTATCCCAGTCAATATATAACATGGAATCCTCTTAAAACTATTTAAATTTACCTTTTGGTTTTCACAGTATTATTATTATTATTTTTTTTAGAAGCATATCTTGGCACCTACAAATCATGTAATTAGAAGAAACTCTCAGGGAAGGTGTTTGATCCGTATGACCCAGGGTATTCATGTTGACAGCCTGTGGTACACTCCAGCGTTGGACTTAGACAATCCCTTACAAACTTACATGAGATCTGGGTGCCCAGAGACAAGGAAAAGGCAAATCAACCTGGTCTCCACTTTATATTGGAGATGTAAAATAACGTTCTAGATCCATTTTCTGAAGTTCCTCATATTTTCCAGGAAAATTGTGTTTTCAGATCACTTGAGATAATAAGACCAGGAAGTTTGACTCCTGCTATTCTGACTTGCTTGCAGAAAGATAATCTATAATCACCGTGTCCCAGATGGCTAAGCTTAGGGAGAGAGACCAACTGGGGAAATGTAGGATTCTAGACCTACTGGTAGTGAATACATTTAAAGTATGGATGTGACCAAGAAGCACCATACAGACATAGGAGTTGTTTAATATTAAGTTTATTTATATTGTAAACCAAGATTTCAGGAAATCCTTAGGGATATTTTCAGTAAGTAGATAACACTATATATTTGATGTGAGTGACAATGGACTTCATAATGGATAGTTTTTTACAGATTTTCTGAAGCAAGGGAATTCAAGAGCAATGATATGTACATCTACAATTTGTTTTAGGTGGTACTTACTCAAAAACATCTACACCTAATGGTTATGATAACGGTATTATTTGGGCCACTTGGAAATCACGGTGGTATTCCATGAAGAAAACCACCATGAAGATAATCCCACTCAACAGATACTCCGCTGGAGAAGGACAGCAACACTTCCTTGGGGGAGCTAAACAGGTTGGGCCAGACACCATGTTGAAATAGAATATAAATAAATCATCTTACCATGCAAAATAATTGCTAATTTCTGTTAGTCCACAAAGCTTCAGAAACTCTGAAAGTTTCTTCTCATTTATCTCTTACTATATTTATTAATTTTAAGTCTTTTATTAAGGATAGTTAGCCTTAAATGGAAATTAAAACTCACTTGGACTGTATTCCCACATTACTGAACTTGGAGTTATTTAAAATTTATTTGAGGAGATAACATTTTAGCTCATTCCCTATGTATATAATAATAAAATTGTTGCCATATTTTGCATTTTGATATTTGCAGATTGTTGACATATTTTGCATAATGATCATGTCATTTTCTTAGTGATTTTTCATTTTTATTATTTCTTAAATATTTAATTATATACCAGAAATATCCAAGTAAATGATAGCATTTTAAATCCCTAAGTATTTTTCCATGTTTATTACTCCTATGTCATTCATGTTTAATTCTTCTTTTTAAATGGAGAGAATTATACATGTTTAATATTCTTTTTTTTTGTTTTGGTCATAGGCTGGAGACGTTTAAAAGAGCACTTCAACAGTGATTTACTTTTTTTTAAAGGACTTTATCTGAACAGAAAAATATAATATTTTTCCTGTGGGACAATGGACTTGCAAAGTCTTACATCATTTTAAGAGTAAAAACAACGACCCATATTGAAAACTCCACTAACAGTTTTATTTTGGTGATAATTTATCTACATGCCATTGCAATAAACATTTTGTTTCCTAAGACTAGATACATGGTACATTTTATTGACTATTAAAAACCACCACTTTGATTCAATCTAGTAATTACAATTGGTCAAGCATCAGTAGTTGCTGAGTCCTTATTTCGTGTTAAATACACTCCTAGGGATTTATGAAGGAAATAGCAATCATCGCCTTTGCCTTTCAGGGGATATAAGACAAATAATGGGAAAATATAGTAACCCAAAGTCACAAAATTTGACATAAGAACATAAATATAAGTCACAATCACATAACTGGGGTTCATGGTACCCAAAGTACAACTGGAGATAAAAGGCAGTTTGGAGATTCTCTCCAAAAAACCTTTTAACTCTGGACCCCTGTGGCCACATGTGGGTGTACTGAGAGGACTACAGCTCAGAGCAGGGGGCTTTAAGGAACAATCTGCTTGGTCCCTCACTGGTGAATGATGAGGTGAGTGGAGAAGAGCCATTACTTCATTCTGAATCCAGGGATATTGACTTTTTAGCTGCCGGGGATTGGCAACTTTCTGTAAGGAATAGCAAAGTCTATATAAGTTGGTGTAAGGCTGACAGGGAAAGTAACTAATTGACTTTATGAGAAGAGAGTGTGGTTGTTCTGAAGCCCTGAGCTATTGCTCTGGATTCTCTTTTTCTCCAAAATTTCCTTTCTAATTCTCTCACTTTCTTGTCCTCCTGAGTCCTGATTTTAAAGTATCCTATTGAGGAGAGAAAACAGTATATCAACTTCTAAGTGTACAACCAAATACGTGTGAAGCTTTGAGAAACAGGAATTAATATTCATTGTCTGCAGCACTCAATCATTCACGCATGCATGAAGCGTTCATTCAGTGAACACTTACTGAATGCCTTCATTGTCCTAGGGTACGGGGGATATCACACAGAGTAGGACCTTCCTCTTTCCAAACCCTTTCTATTCCATCCAGGTCTCAAGTTCCAAAAACCCACTGACTCATATTCTAGTCTTCCTTCTTCTTCCCTCCTTTGATCATCAAGCCTGTCAAATACACTTCTAGATATTTATTATATTCATTTTTCTCTCTATACCTGCTGCCACCATTCTAGTTGGGATATGCAACATCTCTTGCCAAGATAATGGCAATCTTGCTGTCTTGCTGTCTTACATCTTGCCTCCGGCCTTACCTGCTCCTACCTTTTCATGCTCCAAACAACCATTAAAGTCAGAATGCATACAGTCTACCCATTGTAAATCTATAAAACCCATTGGATGAGCAATTTGGTCGTAGATAGGAAGAATTCTATAAATATTCATACGTTTGGATGCAATAATACCACTCTAGTGATTTAGCCCAAGAAAATAATTTTTGAAAAACAAAATACCTATGGACAGAAATACAAATACAGACATACATTTAGTGACAGTGGGAAATTTACAGAATATATAACGGTGGAAGAATGGACAAGCAAGATGATATATTAGTACAGTGGAATAGAATGATTGCATAATAAGCATAATATATCCATGTGAACTTGAAATATTTACAAGTAATAAGGGAAATTTTAAGATGAAAATTCTACAATGATAATTATGTAAAAAGTCTGTGCATATACATTTCGAACAAAATATAATCTTGACAGATATGCATTCTTGGTACATATTTGTTCTCCCCCAACCAATCTATAATGTAGAATTTAACAAACATACTAAAACACAAAATAAGTATAATGAAGTCCAAAAACTTCTGATTTTTCCCATGATTGCTTGTCCAGTGCTTCTTCTGAAGTATCAACTACAACATTCTTTCAAAAACACTTTGGAGCCCCCTTTTACTGTGAGTGTCCCGACTACATACTTGGTTTACATGTTCGGTAATCCAGCATTGATTGGTAGAGGGGGACCTCTAACTTTCTCTTTATAAACCTCTGTATTGTTTGACATGCTATGAGTACATATTAATTTTGAAGTTAATTTTAAAACCTAAAGGTAGAGAAAAGCAGATGAAATTCAAATTTTACTTAGTTACTAATATTTGGTGGTGAACATTAAAGGGCTACAGTTTAAGAACAAATGCATGAGAAATACTTCTAGGTTCAGTAGGATCAGGCCTCCATCAATAAAATGGAAATTGAAAGAACTATCTTGATAAATCAACTTTAAAAAATCTACTTTTAAGTGAAACAAAGAGTTTGGAGCCTTCTAGAGACAGTTCATTTTTTTCCACAGCTCAAATCACAGGCAGTTCTTACTCAATCCTTTCCTAGGCATATAAAAACTCAGGCCACTGCAAAATAGGGAGCCTAAGTGCAAAGCAAATGTGTGTGGTCATGCCCTTCAAAAAACCTACAGAGGGAAGCTTCCATGAGGGAAGGTACTGACACACATGTACAGATACCATGACTTCAGGTCATGCAGTTCTAAGGCAGAGTTGTTTAATCAGCAGACAGAAGTAATCCTTTATTGGACAAATATCAAGCTTTATTTTAAATATAGTTCTGAAGTGTTGTAACTTTTTTCACAATTCTTCCTATGTTTAGTACTTATACATTTGTAAAATAAAATGAAGTCTGTGACCCCCCATGATGGTCGCCCCACAAGCAAAGAAACTATGCCAGCCCTAGAGGGCCCAGGCTGCCGGGTCAGCTCCCGTTCGCTGTGAAGATGCCCTGCAGCCATCCTTGCCTGTCACGAGCAAGTCACAGACTGTGACAAACATTCACCTGTAACAAGTGGGGTGTAAAAAACAGCCTGGCATGCTTAAAGAACAAAAGACAAAAAAAAAACTGGTCTGGTCTTGTCTTTGGTAGAATTTTTCAGGAGAAAGATGAACAATCCTAAACCGTGATTCCTCTCACACACAGATAGCATCAGAATGCTCAGACTGTTCTCTTAAGACACGCCCCTGATGTATGGATTAATGTAACCTCTTTCTCGCACATAATTCCCACCATAAAAAAGTATTAAATTGTCTCCAAACAAAGGGCTTTGGAGCGGGTACACAGAACTCCCTGACTGATTGTGGTCCTCAGTAAGACTCTGAATAGCTTCTATCTTTCTTAAACACATAGCCAGGTTGATTTCAGATGACACTTTAAAGGTTATTTTTCAGATTTGTGGAGATGGGTAGACAGTGAATGGGAAATGAAGAAATATAGTACAGACAAAATACTTGAGAACTTTACAAGATGTAATGTTCTTTGACTCTGACCTTAACCAATATAAACTAGCTAAGGTATTTATAGTATATACATTTGGTTTATTGAGATGATAAGAGTGAAAAACAAAGTACACAATTTAACCCTGGAGAAAATATATCTCCCTGATGATTTCTTATCAGTTTGATGTAACTCAAAAAGAATGGGGGAAAAAAAATATAGAAAGATGAGTTAAAGTAGATGGAAAATAGTAACTTGGTGATAAAGAGACCAAAAGTCTGGGAAAGGCTGTTTCATATACCTTTTTGGAATGTGCGTGTGTGTATGATTGTGTGCGGGTGTGCGTCCCTCAGAGGCAGAAGTTGAGTTAATCTTACTCTTTGTACACCATTCTCATTCATCTGTGCTGGGTCTCTCTCGGGACTGATTGATTCTCTTTTATTCAAACTTCCTTTTCTTCCCTTTATCCCCATTTTAAACAATCATTCCAATAGATTTGATGTGTTTCTTTATTTGAACACATTCTTGTAAATTGTAAAGAAACACAATTCTATTGAGTAAAACTGAAGATCTAATTGACTTTATCAAGTGATACATGGATCAGGCAGTACCTCTTCTGCCAAATAGAGAGATGCTCCAAGAAACTGTACAAAATGGAAGGTTTTTATAGGCTGGAGGGTAGGGCAAGAAGCTATTAACAGAAGAAAAGAAAGGATTGTTGGCAAGGTCACCCTCTTTTAGGGTCTTATCATAGGGATTACCTCATCCTTTGGGTGGGAAGGAGAGGGTTTCTGTGCTGACCAGAAAGTTCCTGATTGCCTGTTAAGACTGCATTTCTGGGGGAGGTTGAAACTACCACTGCGTTAAGCACTAAGCCCAGGTTTGGTGACTTGGCACAAGTACCTTGCTTTTGGGCTCATGGCTTTCTTTTTAACAAAATCATGGATTGTTCTTTTGTGCTGTGTATTTTAAATTATTATAAATGGCATTGTGGTATAAACCAGTGTTACTCAGAATGCTGGTCCTCAAATCTTTTGTCTCTGGTCTGTGCTAAATTAAAAAATTGAGAATCAGCATGTAGAAACATTTTTCCTATATTATCTTTGCTCTGATCATATTCACTGAAATGCAACTTTATGTCTTTGGGATCTAATAATAAAAATTTAGGCCCATATTTTGTATATCTTTGGTTCTTTCATTTGATTTTCTAATAATTGTTTTTATTTCATCTTATAATCTAATGGGTCTCTGTGATTGGTTGGAAATTAAATAAAAATGATCCTTTACCACAAATACTTCAGGAAGTACTGTTAAGGTCTACTTGGTACTCGTTTTCTTCATTCAGCCTTATGTTAAGATCTACTCATGATCTGAGTAATTTATCACTTCCCTTGATTTCTTTTAAACCCAAGGGTTATAAAGTAAATATTATTTGGCTCCAAAGCTTGTGATTTTTAAAACTGTTTTTTAATTATTTACTATTTATTGCCTGTGGTCAGAAAACATAATTGCCATGATACTGATTCTCAAGAGAGAGATTTCACAAAGTATTTTGGAACAGAGAAATTATCAGAGAGTTAATTGACCATAAAAGTGTATATAAACCATAATCACTCCCCAGTCATACCAGAAAGCTATTTATATTTTTTCCTTTAGAAAGGACAATGAACAAACTAAAGATAGACAGTTATTGGCCTCAAAAACAAGAGTTTTGGTCCAAAGGGTGGGTAGCCATGGCCTGGTATGAGTGTTAATAGTAGGTATGGCCGCTGGCTTTTAGAACAAGTCCTCTGTATCAAGTTTGAAAGGCTTTTGGGAAAGGCTGGCTGCACCATTTCAAGCTCTTGCTTCTCTCAGTTTCACTAGGAAATATTTGAAGGTACAAAGTAAGAGAA